TCGTTAGTGAACAACGGCTCTTTGTAGTTAATGCTGCTCAATGTGAAAGCCCGCAGGTGATGGAGATTTACCGCTGATTACAGAACCGGCTTTCTGACAAGATGTGCATTAAATATCGCATGCGATTTATCGTGCAGCCCTAGTTGTAATGTTGTTGTGCTGTCAGTGCTTTAGACGGTGTCTGAGTGTTTAGGTTTGTCTGTTGCTGTTGATATACAGCATCTGCTCAGAGATCAGAGATACTGGACTTCACAGTGCACACTATCTTGACATCAGACTTGTCCCGGTCGTTTAATTTGTTTGTTATAAAAGATGAATTAATCTCAGCTCATGGATTTAAAACTTAGTAGTGGGATTTAGGAAGAGGAAGTACTGCTGGATATTTGTTCAGTTCTTCCTGAGGATCCACCACTCAACAAGCTTAAAGGGGTAGTTCACCCAGAAATGAAAATTCTGTCATTATTTACTCACCCTCAAGTTGTTCCAAACCTGTATGATTTTTTTTCTTCTTCTGCTGAACTTTCGTCTGACCAGCAACAGTTTGGTTACCCACATTCGTCTAAATAGCTTCTTTTGTGTTCAGCAGAAGAAAGAAATTAATACCGGTTTGAAACAACTTGAGGGTGAGTAAATGATGAGTTTCATGTTTGTGTGATCTATCCCTTTAAGCTTGCTGAGTAGTGGACCATCAGGAAGAGCTGAACATATCCAGCAGTATCTTCCTCTTTCTAAATGGGGATGTGGAAGTCCAGGTCAAATTATCATTTCTCTTTTTTGTAGATTGAAAACCATGGAAGTAAATGTCATGTTAGGAGCTCCTTAAGCACTATTATACAGCACTGTAGCCCCTTTTCTGCTGACAGGGTGCTGGTGCAGATCTGGAATTGTTCCAGTTTTCAGAACAACTCTCAGTCTTGATAGATTGACACAGAACAAAACTAAATGGCTCATTAACATCAATAAAGATGTCACCAATCACCTGTACAGTGCAGCTAATGATGACATAAAGACACTGAATAAAATTTATTTCGAAATATGTTTTCAAACCTTGCAATCATATACAAAGTCTGTATTGATTTATTCTTTGGGAATTGATTGGATGGTGAAAAGTGGGCTGGAATGAAGCCAGAAATTAAAGCTAAATTGCTAAAGCAATTTCAGAGGTGAAGGAACATTTCAATATTTTCTGATGAAAGAACTTTTCTGATGAAAGATTATGAAAATTTAGAATAATATGTAATAATAAATTGTTCAGAGTAAGTAATGTGTATTAAGCAAGTAATTAGGGTCAATTTTGATTTCATATTGACTGTAATATGTTTAAATGTTTGTTAAACTTGCAATAACATTGAAGATCACCAATAACATCTGACAACAATGGTCAGAATTTTTGCTTCCTGAGGTGAAATCTGACCAAAAAATATGTTTGCAGTCAGTTACTGTGTTTCTAACAAAGAAAAAAGGCAGCAGAAATGACTGAAATTTTGCGCAAGAGCCTTTTCGGTGCACTCGATTAAAACGCTTGTACGAAATTCATCGTATTTAATTAGATTTTTTTGTTTTTGTTAAGGGTGCTTCAAGGATGACCGCATAGTGTTCTGGACATGGATGTTCTCCACATACTTCATGGAGAAATTGGCACCACGTCAGGATGATATGCTCTTCTATGTGCGCCGCAAGCTCTCCTACGTCAGTGCAGACAACACAGAAGGGAAGAAGGTGAGATGAACCTATTCATTCTCACTGAGTGAGGTGTAGAGTTGACAGAGAGCATTGGTTTCTAAAATTTCACACCTGGGGGTTAGACAGTTTCATGCATGCCCTAGATTTTATTGAGCACTGCAACTTATAAACGGTAGCATTTTTCATTAGGTCCCTAACAAAGATTATTATATAGTGGGTAGTTCACCCAAAAATGAAAATTCCGTCATTTATTCACGCTCATGTGGTTCTAAACCTGTTCTAAACCTTTCTTGCAGTGGAACACAAAAAAGAAGATATTTTAAGAATGCATCTGTTTTTTTAATGCCCGTGCATTGAAAGTTAGTGGGGTCGAGTGTTGTTTTGGATTGTTTCAAAGTAATTTAAAGAATGTTCAGAATTTCTTTTTTTGTATCCCACATAAGCAAAACAAATGTACAGGTTTGGAACTGCATGAGGGTGAGTAAATGATGACAGAATTATTATTATTATTTACTATTTTAACGCCTAGTATATGTACTGTCTCCTTACTCTGTCACTCTAATCACCTTCTTCCAAACAGTAAAGAATTACAAAATAAATAAAAAAGTGACAAACCCATCTTAGATATCAGAGAAATAGCTTTATTATGAATCATCTGGACATGAGATATATGGGATGGAGAACGTTGCTGGTCATATTGGATGCATTTGGCAGAGCTAATTTACAAAACCTGTAACCACAGTTGGCATTTAAAAGTACCTGCTAAAATTAAACAGATGTTTAATCTTGCCTACATTAACAATGTCATGTTATGAAAATTTGAGATCACCAAAAAAGGTTTGAAATAAGTGTGTGAGAACAATTCCGTTTCATCTAGCTGTTTTAACATGTCCCATATGGCACTAACCAGACAGAATACAGAGGAGAATCACATGCTCCACCAAAAATTTCCTGTCCTGCCAAAGCACAAGTTTGGAGCATCTGAACTGGGATTTGAGTTGCTACGACTTGTGTTGTTTTCAGTTGGAGGTCGAGGTTTACAGAAGAGACTCTAAAAAGCTGCCTGGACTCGGTGATCCAGACATCGACTGGGAGGAGAGCGTCTATCTCAATCTCATCCTGCAGAAAGTAAGCAAACCTCAATGATCAGACACTATGAGGTGTATATGTGCAATGCAAACAGAATTAATTGCTCTAAAATATAAACAATAAACCAACGACTACTCTCTCTGCGACATAGAAGTTTTCATAATGTCATTTTGGTGTAGTTTTGCCCATGTAGTCTTTTTGTCCCACAGCTGGACTATGTGGTCACATGTGCAGTTTGCACACGCTCAGATGCAGGAGACATCCACATCCACAAGAAGAAATCACAGGTAAGACCACATTTGTGCAGTTTGTGTGATGGGATATAACTACGCAGTTCAGACACAAGATAACACAGTAGGCAGTCTTATGGTTCAGTTAGCCGTCTTTAGTCTAAGGTTATGATACTAGAAGGTGATTATTATAAAAGGAATTGTATACACTTGTCAATAATCAGGTGTTTTCTGCACAAAATCATAGTAACAGGGTTGAGAGTCTTGCAGTTATCCATTATTAGCCTTAGCTGAAGATTGACACTAGAAGGTGGTTATTATTAGACCATGTAATGCATTTGTTAGTAATCAGTTGTTTAAAAAAAAACTAAGTTACAGAGTTGACAGTCATGCTTTATTAATCTAATGTCTGGTTTACACAAAATCATCGTAACAGTCTGGTTGTTATTAGGCAAATCATAAGGTTATGAAATACAAATTGTAGTTTAATACTTAAAAGTTTAAAGCATGAAGCATGAGTTGTTTACTACAATAATACTTGTTACAGGGTTGATAGTCTTATTATTCAGTCAGCTGTTTTTAGAAAAAACGGTTTACACAAAATCATCGTAACAGTCTGGTTGTTATTAGGCAAATCATAAGGTTATGAAATACAAATTGTAGTTTAATACTTAAAAGTTTAAAGCACGAAGCATGAGTTGTTTACTACAATAATACTTGTTACAGAGTTGATAGTCTTATTATTCAGTCAGCTGTTTTTAGAAAAAACATAGGATTATGAAACTACAAGCTAAAATACAATCACTACACAAAATCATGGTGAAAAGGTTGACATTTCCAGCTCAATCTCTAATGACACACCCAGATAGCACACATACGTCTGATAAACGTTGATAAAATTCTTTCCATACATTCTACATCATAAACATCTAAACCCAAACCCAAACTAAACTAATAAAAGAGACATTAACTAGTCCTTGAAGCGTTTACTTCCTTGTAGAGGTGATGACACAGACATATCATAGCTGAATGATTTAATGTTATTTCTATGAATTTGCAACTGAAAACAGAGGATCTCTTTATTTACAGCAAGTGTTTGCCTCTCCAAGCAAACACCCAATGGACAGCAAAGGGGAGGAGTCAAAAATTAGCTACCCCAACATCTTCTTCATGATTGACAACTTTGAGGAGGTAACCTTTTTTAAGGCTCTCAAATCACATTGTGGTGCTAGAGCAATGATGCTAGAACAGAACTGCTGGTAATTTCAAAAGCTGTGTACTGCAACATCAGGTTTAATCAAAGGAGAGACGTGTGTCATCTAACATAAGGAAATAAACTACTGAATATCTGATCTGAGGTCATATCGAAGTGATATTTTCTGAGGTATGTATGAACAGGTTGGACAGGTTTATGTGGTTTTCCTGGTGTTGTTGCTACCTAGCTCAGTAAGGTAACTGAGTTTTGAGTCATAAATGTTCAAGCATGATAATATTTTTGTAGGGTTATCTGTACAGAAATAAGCTGCATCTCAAATGATGCATCTAAACACTATGCACTTATACACTATGTATTCAACCGTGTAGTGTATGAATTATATAAGGTTATTTTGTCATCCATAATCAGAATCTGATAGGCCATACCCCTCCACTATGTAATTAAAGGGGTCATATGATGCAATTTCAAATGTTCCTTTCTCTTTGGAGTGTTACAAGCTGTTCGTGCATAGATAAGATCCCTAAAATTGCAAAGACTAAAGTCTCAAACCCAAAGAGATATTCTTTATAAAAGTTAAGACTTGTCCACGCCCTCCTAAATGCCTCGTTTAAACACACCCCCATATGTCTACATCACTGTGTGGGAAGATTTGCATAACACCGCCCAAATGTTCACGCAAAGAAAGAAGGCGTAACTTTTATTCTCGCTGTAGTATTGTTGTTGCCGCTGCCATGTCGTGGAGATGCTGTGTGTTTCGTTGTGAAAGCGAAACTACTTTGTTTGGCCTTCCAAAAGAGGACGATATCCAA